GGGGGGGGGGGGGGGTAACAGCGCGGGCTACTGCATCATCACACACACACACCACACACACGACCGCACTCGTCACCTGCCGAGGTTCTTGGCGTCTCTGGCCAGGAGGGTTCTCGCGTGAAGCCTCAGGTAGGCAACACGCCAGCTCAGCGAGGCGGAAGCAGGGTCCATTCCCGCCGGTGGGACGCCGTTGGTGGCAGGCTTGGCGACGACGTCGGGGTGGCCAGGTGACGGTGACGGGTCCGCCGAGATCGCGCCGTTCCAGTTGGGGAGGGATGCGGGGAGCTTCTTGGTCAGCGCCAACCTGCGCGTGCGTGCGTGCGTGGGTGCGATTAGACCATGAGGGCGTCCTCATTGTTGCCCTGTTGTGTTTCGCGGTGTCGAATGCGGTGGTCTCGAGGGGGTGGAATGCGGCATGCCCTTTACGTAAATCGCGCTTTGGTCCCATTGTGCCGCTTCCCTCGGTTCTGCAGACCCCCCGTGTCCCCCCCCCCCTCACAGCAGTACTATCTCAACACAATCACCCAATCCTGTGACTTTCCCATTTCCTGTCCATTCCTTTCGTCGATACTGTTGTCCAAAAATCTCCAAACCGGTGAGTACCCACCCCCTCCCACCTACCGTCCTCTCGAGCACGTACGGTCAATGCTAGAACAACAAAGGTACGCAAAACACGGGACCCCCCCCCCTCCCCCCACCGTTCGGGTAGCCAGGATGCCAAATCAACCCGTGGCAGATATAGATTGGCACAGCAAAAAAAAAGGATGACGACCAGCTCCTGGTGTATCCTTTTTCATCCTTGTGAAACTTAGCCCCCGGGCCGGGCAAATCACTCCGTGCCGGCACTGTACAAGGATGCGGGGTCTACGGTCGAAAGGACGACGGCCACGTTTACATGAGGACCCCCCCAAAAAATCCCCCCCACCAGTGGGTAACCCCCCGCTAGTCGCCTCACCGAATGTCGTGCCGCACGCATGCCCCAGCGAACCGCCACATGGCGCGAGCCCAGGAGCCCCCTTCCTTCGCGAAGCCCCCGACAAGCACGGCCTCCGCCGCAGACTTGGGCCTGCCCACCCCGGTCTTTCCCCCCATCTCCGACGCCCAGGACCAGGTTTCCACCGACGGAAGCATGCCGGCGGGGGCCCCGTCCTTGGCAGGCTTGGGGGGGTGGACCTGCCAGCCGCACGTGGAAGTCGTTTTTTATAGGCCTTCCCCTATTTCTGCTTCTGTTATTTTTGTTCATTTTTGTACGTGAGTATACAGTAGAGTTTAGCTTCCGACAGGTCTATTTTTCTCCCCGGTGGTGCCTTGTTGGTTGTGTGCAGACTTTCGCTGGGGGGCGCGTGCTCAAAATATCGCTGATAGAGGTCGGATGAGGAGGAGGAGGAGGAGGAGGAGGTAGGGGGTTGATAAATCGCCACCTGGTCCTTGTCAAGACGTGCGGAACCTTTCGGGGGGGACGACTCCCTGTTCACTTCGTAAGAATATTTTGGATCTTGAACCTTCATGCACAATACTTGACAATTGCTTGGGCAACCATTGAGCCGACATTCACATTTCTTGGACACGTTCCGCTAATCCCAGACCAAATTGATGTACCACTGCCTGCTGAACGATCGGCAACATGTACAACAGTCGGGGCCCCTCTATAGCGCGGTAAGGCCGGTTCGCCCGCCCAATGGATTCTGCCACGAGAATTCACTCGCCCGTGTACTGTACAGCCCACTCGCCCTGCAATAACCCGTCCCATAAGATGGACCCCGACCGTACACTTGTCACCTTCCCTCGCATGGGCAGGTGGTACAATGCATACCTTGGGAGGCGGCAGGTTCCTCAGGGGAAGATAAGCTTGGGGGATGAAGCGGTTGAATCTCGACCTCCTGACGAGGTTGATGATCTCGTCGACCACCGCTCCGACGACCCTGCCCTGTTCCGAGTCCACCACAGCCTGCATCACCCCCCCCCCCCCGGCGAAAAAAAATCGACACAATGGAAGACAAGTTAAGATCAATAAATGAATGACCCAACGGAATATAAGACAGAAAAAAAATCAAAAACATTATCCAACGAAAATCAGTCAAAGCAATATTTTTTGACAGCAGTATGGACGATGGGCTCAAGTACAAAAGAATGACAGTATGGGAAATAAGTTGAAGCACATACAAAAACGACACCATTGAATATAGGTGGAAAAAAATGACTATAGGTTAAGCACAGGGTCAGAAAAGGTGCAGGGGTGTAACTATGACCAAACTGGTTAGGTCATTGACCACGCGTCCTCGAGAGGGCGGAGCATTGTAGGGGTAGCATTGAGAGCGAATGATACTTCGGCCGACTCTGAGCCAAAACATGGAACCCATGACGTACGCGTGCACAAAGAAAGATGCACATACCAGAGTCGGCGTGCGCGGGCGGGCGGTGTACGGCATTCAGCCCACTGATCAACCTGCTGTCGGTGGGAAAAACTGAGGAAAATGTGGCGAAATATCGCAAAGCAATAGAAAACCTAAGCAAAAACGCCGCGAAACAACGCAAAACAGAGCAACACTGAGCAGAAACGCGGCGAAACAAAGCGAAACAGAAGCAAAACGAACACAATACGCAGTGAAATACCGCCAGACAGAAGCACTGCTGCGTGCACGGCTCGATCGCCACATCGCCACACTAGCACTGGTCGCAATGAACAACACCCGGCGAGAGGTCACCACCGCAAACTGCAGCAGCATCGTGCGTGTAGCGGCACCAAATATGCCGCAGCTTGTAAACCTCCCCTTGCTTCGCTCCCCTGCCGATCAATCTACATCCATGATAACAATTTCGTTTCTTGAATCATTGCCTGGGTCCTCCTGCAAATCAATTCACTCCAAGCACTCTACTGGAGCACAAAAACGAAGAACCTGCTGGCGTTTCGGAAAGTGTGTTGACCATAAAAAAAAAAAAACACGCTGTATGCCGCTCGGGAAATCGTGGAAATACAGTTAGCCATCTCTGACGCTATGAAATCATTGCTAATCTACATTAGACTCTTGTTCTTAGATAGAGATGGGTTCGTTTGGTCATTAAAAAAACACACACACACATATCGTGGCCTATAGAAGCATATTGCGTTTTCCACCGCATCTGAAACTGACGTATTTTCATTGCTCAGCCGGTTAGCGAGGTCGATGCTAGTAAGAAAGACACACGTACATGGAGCTTCTCCGAAAAATATAACAAAATCATGTTGGAGTTTCGGACGTGTGTTGATAAAAACACCAAAAAAAGCGAAAGAGCGAAACACAAATAAAAATAAAAAAATAAAAAATACCTGCAACTCTCCGACGCCGACATTAAGCCGAGCAACCCGGTAGGTGGGCGCGATCGACTTGCCGCCGGGCTGATCCCACTGGTGCACCTCCGCGCCGATCTCGACGGCAAGAGGCTTAAACAGCAACGCATGTCTTAAAACAAGTCGGTGCAGGTGGAAGCAGCGCGCCGGGGCGGGACCAACAATAAGCAAAACACTGGTGCATAACAATGGTGCATAAACAGCAACGGGTGTCTTAAACAAGTCGGAGCAGGCGGGGTCAGCACACGACGGAGAATAAGAACAACGGATAGGGAACCGGTCGCCCATCTCTTGGTGCTACATCTAGACCGTGTGGAACAATGGCACAAGGCGGTGGTATTGGAAAGCAGTCTAAAACCTGTACGGAAGTGAAGCAGCAGTGATGATGCATACAAGATATGCGCGTGGGCGATAAGAGTCGGACGGAGCACACGGGACACGCCAACAAAAGGTAACTCGCTGGATCCCGAGCGCATGCCACAATGCGGACAAACGGAAAAAACTAGAGAGGTCACGAAAACAAACGGCTTGCCGATAAGACTAACATGGCAGGCAATAACGTGGCCAAAAGTGAAAAACAATACGATGGTCGTACACCAATTTCACTATTGCTGAAAAAACAACACGAAATCGCTTGGGGGAGGGGTGCCGAGGGCATGCCATAACCCAGATGACGGGACGAATGAGAGATTCTACGAAAAAAACTGCGTTCCATAACGACGAAAAAGAAACGCAATAGGCTGCCCAATTCATCACGGCAGGAAACACTGAGGCGAAAGTGAAAGACGATACGAAGGTCGTGCACCAATTGCACTACTGTATGGCTGAAAAAACATCAAACTTTCACCTGCTTGAACAATCCAAAAAAGGCATAGTTTATAAGGATATCAAACAGCAACCAAACCACGGCCGCCTCACCGCTCCGACTTCCACTTCTGCAGGAACAGTGCCCTTACGGCCTTCGCGGCAGCGGCGGCCCCACTGTTGTTAGCCGCCGGCGTTAGCCCGCCCCCTGGGAGGGAACCGCTCGCCCCCGGACGAGGATTGGTCGCCTTGTTCCTTGCGGCGGCCACGGCTGCAGCGACCGCAGTCACATAACTGATATTGGCGCGCGCGCGGGGGGGCAGTTCGTAAACGCATGACGTAATCGTTAGACCATCGGGGGGGGGGGGTACTCATAGTCGTGCATGCCGTAGTCGTTAGACCATTGACCTCGAATCCCTACAAAGCCGGGACGGAGCACGCCGGGTTCTCACCGGACCAGGCTCTCACATCACCAAGCGCGAAGCGCCGTGAGGTATTCGGCGAGTCGCATGAAGGGTGAGCTGCATCCCACTAAGGGTGTTCGGCATCTTGGGCTTACTTCCTTGCGTACGGATGACAGCTGCGCATGACTAAATATATTTTCTGGTGCTTTCACTTCCAGAGACAGTTGGAAGCACTGTGTAACTGACTCGAGATATGCCAGTTACTCTCGGTAACAATACAAGGCGGAAAATATTTCTTGTCCGCGTGACCCCTCGGCCCCGCCTGCTCCCCCAACCTTACACATTTTTTCAGCAGTGGAGACCCCAACAAGCCTACACACACAAGGTAGGCCTTGCCCCAAAACTTCACTTTTCAACTGTTCCCGGCCATCTCCTCCTCTCTCCTCCTGGGAGTGTATCTACCGGTCTTGAGGGCAAAAAAAGTAAGGGAAACAAGAAAAAACAAAAAACAAAGACCCGCAAAGCAAAAC